ACAGTAAATGTTGCGGACTACCTTTCAAGGTTGCCCCACAGTGCCAAACCTTCCAGAGGGGAGGATGATGTGACGGAGCAGGCTCGTCCCTAAGAACGCCGTCCTGGGGGAGAGCAACGTGAAGATGCGCGCACCCGTTTCCGTAGTTATTGCGCACCGCTCGCCGTACCAGTTCCTACCAAAATCACTGTTTTACAATAAAATTTCTCCCAACATCTCCTGCGTGTCTTTCCGCGACTAAGGGTGCACACTTGGAAGCGCTTTATTCAATTAATCTAAAGCACGCCAATCCAGACATTTCACTTAAGCCCGCCCGCCTTCGCCCTCCTTCCGTGGTGTGTACTGGCAAACCCGGACACATCCGCGCTGGGAGTTTAAATCCGGTCGTTGCGTGGGTTCCGGGAATCAGGTGTGCAACAACTAATTTGCATGGGCAATTAAATGTATTGTCTGTCTCTCAGACGTTGTATTTAAGACCTGTTCATTCTGGGCGCAAGCTATTACGGGTATATAACCATCGTGCTATAAAACATAGGCCGTTTGATTGTAGAAACGGCGAAATCATGATTATTGGGGGGAAATTATGTAATGTGGGAGGGGCAAACCGGGAATATAAAGGTGCGCTCTCCAGCTCTGTGGGGAGTTGCGACCAGGTTGCAGTGGAGGTAACTTGGGTGGAGTGAGCCAGAGCGAACGAGCGACAGAGACCAGAGCGTGAGTGAGAGAGCGAGAGAGAAACTTTGCCGGACTTAAAGGGAAGTCCACCAAAAAACTTTTGTCATTTTTGTTTTTCACACCACCACTGTAAATATTTATCCACTCACGTTTGGCACCTTTTGCACTGTTGGAGAGCACAATAAATCACCGAAAAGCATTTCCTGCCTAAGCCTGAGTTTTTTTTGGAAGAACCCCACCACAATTGTAAACACAAACTTGCTGTTCATATGCTGCTTTTTTTTTTCTCTTTGAAAATTCTGTCGTGGTTTAACAGGGTTTGGCTTTATAAGTACTTTTTACTTCAGCCTAAACTCTTTCAGTCATGATCCCTGTGGTTGTAGTCTATGTTTTGTTTTGTTTTGTTTCGTAGTGCTGCAAAATGACCGAATAAAAAACCATTACTACATCTCCAAAGTGCTCTGTTCCACCTCACGACATCATGTAGTTGTAGTTTTTGACTTGACAGCTACCGTTTTCACCTTTTGTTCCGAAGAAATTGACAATTCCAAGGCTAAAATCCTCCAAACGGTTTGAGTGAAAGCACGTGGCGTTTAAAAATCCGTATTACCACATGACATGACGGGCTCTTTAAGCTCACTCGAGACTACTACAAATCTAACTACTACCAGATTGTACAGTAGTGGGCGTCCGGTCTGCGTTCAAACCCTGCGACGCTCGAGTAATTTTATCTACTTTATGGCTCTCTGTATTGGGCCCAATCCAATTACGGCCATTACCGGACAGTGAGCAGAGAACATCCGTCTTGGTCTCTGTCGCACCGTGCCCTGTGAACCGTGTGTGCGATCTGATTGGCCGACGAAACCAGGATGTTTTGTGCTTCTATTTCTGTGCACTGCTTTGAATGCTCGGCTGTATTTGCATGTGTGTAATAGTAACAACTGGTGAGTAGGAGGAGTGGGTGTATATAGAAGTAAGAAAAGTTGTTAAGAAAGTTGAAATTTTTGAGTTTGACAGGTTGTTTTTGTATTATAATGTGTTCTAATCCAAAAACATCTGTAGAGTTGTATTTATCTAAATTCACATTTGAGTAAACCTGCAGTTTTCTGATCTATGTTATAATGTTTCCTCATCACAAACAGACCTGGAGTTGTTGTGGAGTTTGTTTCATTCAATTGTTTAACACACAAATCCAGCATATTTAGACTGAGTTCTTCCCTCAACCAGAAAACACTCCGTTCCACCTTGTGGTTTCATGTCATAATACAGGAAGTGCGTTTTTAAACTACAGGCTGAAACCAGGACCAAACCAGGACCAAACCAGGACCAAACCAGGACCAAACTAGGACCAAACCAGGACCAAACCAGGACCAAACCAGGACCAAACCAGGACCAAACCAGGACCAAACCAGGACCAAACCAGGACCAAACCAGGACCAAACCAGGACCAAACCAGTCTGGTTGCGGTCTGGTCCCGGTCTTAGTCCCGATCTTGGTCCCGGTCTGGTCCCGGTCTGGTCAGCCCACTCGATGTAGTCCAAGTCTACCATTTTTCCAAATGAAAACAGCAGATGTAGAGGACACTGCACAGCCACACTTGTTCCTTCTGTAGCGAATAGAGCGGATTTACTCACGCGACCAAATTCCCAAACTCGAGCGACCAGGACGCGCGAATGAAGTGAATGACTCAAAAAAGTCAAGCGGCAAACCAGCTGCGTTTGATGTGATTTGTTTGCACTATTCGCGTTTGGTCTGAACACGGCTTAAAGGTACTCTGTGTAAGTTTTCTGATGGACAGCCAGCCACTTTGTTTCCATGGAGATGTTGCTTTGTCTAGTATGTTAGTATTAAACTTATATATATTATATTGGTAAAGGGTAAATGGACACATTTTTATATAGTGCTTTTCTATCTTCAAGGCACTCAGAAAGCCATTCACACACTCACACACTCATACACCAGTGAACACAGACACTGGGGGCAAGGTGGGTTAAGTGTCTTGCCCAAGGACACGGCAACAGCATTCATCTGTGGAAGCTGGAATCGCACCACCAACCTGATCATTGGTCAAACGCTCTTAACAACTGAGCTACTGCCACCCCACTGATATTTTTTAAATTAAACAGATATAAGAAAAGTTACACAGAGCATCTTTAACTGGACTTTGTAATCACCTTTGTCAGTGTCAAATGTCGTCATCTCTATTTGCAGCGTTCTTATCATAAATACACACAGTCAGTATTGAATTTGCATATCTCCACGCTTTGGAACACTGTCCGGAAATTGCGTTGGTGTAAAATTTCAATTTTGATTTGGTGAGTTGTTGTGGTGACAGAAGGGTGCATGGCCCAAAGGCACAGCGGCAGAGTAATATCTGAGCATCTTTGCCAAATCAGCAGAGGGTTTTCTCACTGTCTGGAGCTCCAGCTCTGCAAACTCCCCCAGTAATGAGAGGACTTTCACCATCTGTCTCTCTTCCACAAGTCTTCCACACAATAAAAAATAAAACATCTCAAGTTTGTGCCTCTCTTTGGGAAGTTAGTGCTCGTTAATATGGATAAACATTCATGAATTTTCCTCTGAATGATTCATTTAAGTGACATTTCACATCAAAGGCTATAAGTGGTACAAACATGATAATATGAAGTCAACTTTTCCCAAGCTTTGTTTCAGGATGACTAAGTTGTGATCTAATACATGTACCGTATTTTTCGGGCTATTAGATGCTCTGGATTATAAGACACACTGTCATTAAATGGTCTATTTTCAAACTTTTTTCAAAAATAAACCGCACTGGACTTTAAAGCAAACACAGCAGTTGGATGGGTGAGTGGGACTTTGTTTTGGCGCGTTCACGGTGACTCTGGGCTTTGTTCAGTTGTGGCGTGTAGGGAGGGTGCTGTCTGGGACCGCTTGGATTGTCGGCGTGTTCGCAGTGACTCAGTTGTTCAGTTGTGTCTAGAAGTGGCACATTGCTTCCGTTCCGTTCCTCGTCGGCGTGGAGTGATGAGTGTGGCTGTGGTTGTTTTTCGCTGTGCGGTCGCTGTCTGCTCCGTGTGTGTTTGCGTGCGCTGTGGGTGGTGCGGCTTTGTAGTTTACTGAAGTCGTGCTGGGACACCCGAGTGGATTCATGTATGGGGCGCTCTGGATTGCAAGGCGCAGTCGTTTTTTGATGCTTAAGAGCGAGTGTAATAGCTCGGAAAATACGGTAATAAACCTGCACTACATTGTATGTATGTATATGTGTAAATGTGTAAATAGCAATTGAAAAACATTATGACTTTTTATGTTCACACACAAATTTTGTTTTGAAAGTTTCATGTTGGTGTCATTTTCTTGGCCTTTCGTTCCCTCACATTCTTTCAAACACAGTGATGGTCTACAGATGGTATAAAGTGAGAACCAGTGACCCTGTCAGTGTGTGGAAGTGTAGAGAGAAGTGTGGCTGCTCTTCTTTACAGCTGTTTCCATCTTTAGCTGTAGGGTTTAATTCAACAGAGAGGCAGACGAGAAGTGCTTTACAGTTGGTTTTATTTTGACAACTTTGATGTTTAAAGGTGCACTGTGTAACTTTCCTATTGGGAAATCCGTCACCTTCCTCTCTCCAAGTAAATGTTATCAATTTTCCATAACATGGTATTGCATTTATTCAGTTGCAGCTGTCACTTAAAATGACCATGAAAAACATACATTCATATTGTGAGTAAGGTTGTCTCTCTAAAGATTTCTGGGGCTGTTGACATCACCAATTAACCTTTTTAAAACTGAACTCACTTGGTTTACATTTACAAGTGAATATAGAGTTCACAGGGCAGCCTTAAAAAGGTCTTAAATTTCATGTTCCTAAACTAAGGCCTTTAAAAGTTTAAAAGTATGTTGTCCAAGTCTTATTTTTTCACAAAGGTCTTAAATTTCAATAGCCTATTTCCTTGTATACTCAACTGGGCTGTAACGGAGGGAGGAAAACGGAGGGAGGAGAAAAAAAAACGTGAAATCACATAATCTGAATGCGCAAACAATACTTAGTTTGTCTTGTTAGAATGTTATAAATGATTTTTTTGGCCATTTTACAAGCAATGCATATGACTATAAAATTAGTTCTGAATGAGATTTTACATTTAAAGTATTATTTGTTATTTAAAGTAGTGAATAATGGTCATTATCAGAACTGGATCTGGTGTTTTTCGCCCGCATAATGGGTGTGATGTTGGTCTTAATTTTCATTGAAGTGGTCTTAAAAAGTTTTAATTTGGGGTAGTCAAACCTGGGGATACCGTCGTTCAACATTTAAATTGTAATTAATTTGTTATTTTTTTCATCACCAGCCTGAGAATCTCCTCCTGGCCAGTAAACTGAAGGGGGCGGCGGTCAAACTGGCAGATTTCGGCCTGGCCATAGAAGTTCAAGGAGACCAGCAGGCATGGTTTGGTAAGTCCAGTTATCTGCTCGAGTTTTCAACAAAATATAAAAATTCACAAGGTTATTTATCACTATTACTGTATGGAATGGGTATGTCCTCAGGTAAATCTTTACTACAAAATCTTTAATACTTTACTCGCTTGTACTTCGCGGATATAGTAGAATTTATTTATTTTGGGAATAAGCCCCTTGAGATGTCTTGCCATCTCGTTTTCGAGGGGTCCTCACAACAACAAAAGACAGATACAGTAGGGCAGACAGTAGGATACATAAATTCAAAAAAGCATGAAAACAACAAAATCAACACAACCACACACACTCACACACACTCACTCACTCACACTTGACTGTTTGACATATAATAAAATAAGTTTGAGGGAAAAAAAAAGCAAAAAAACAAAACAGAGTTCAAAGATAATCACAACAAGATGAACAACAAAAATTCAACAAAATGATCAAAAACTATTACACTGGTTCTGTAAATATTGAACAAGCGCATTTTTAAACGAAGGGACTGAAGTTATTGTACGAATTGATGAAGGAAGATTGTTCAAATCAGAAGGAGCTTTATATTTAAATGAGTGTTTTCCTGTTTGTTTTTTAACTCTTCGGATGACAAAAAAGATCTACTGATTGAGGATTGTACTTGGTTGTAATACATGTGTCTGCTCCTTGTACTAACTTGTACTGGCAGTGTTTCTAGTATTTTTACATAAAGATGTTAGTTCCTTAGATTTGACTTAAACTTTTGGGGAAAAGAAAAAAGTAAGGAACAAGTTAAGATGTTTTAAAAATTGAGAACAATCTGGAATATTAATCTGTTTAGTTTGTTTATCGTTTCTAAGCATCATAAGCAAAATATCCATCAAAATTGCACTTTATCCAAATACGTAATAAGAAATAGTCTAATATAAAATAAAAAACATACATTTAAATCAGTCAGAAAAATTACACGTATGCCTACTGACTAAATAAATCAAACTGACATGTCGTGTTTGATGGTTGAAGATGTTTTTTTGTGTTGCAGGTTTCGCTGGGACCCCGGGATACCTGTCTCCAGAGGTGTTGAGGAAGGACCCGTATGGAAAGCCAGTGGACATGTGGGCCTGTGGTAAGACATGCTGGAGGAGGAGGAGGGGTATTTTTAGAGGCACAAATGTCACTGCTGGAGCGCTCATTGGACAGACAGAATCAAAGAGGAGACATCAGAGAGCCCTCGCAGTCACATAGTACCAGCAGCGACGTCTACATACAGTACAAATGGAACTTTATATTGACATGTGCAGGAGTGAAGAAGAGATTGGATGCATGGGAACATCTGTAGTCCATTTCTCTTTTTATTCTTTATTCCAATCCTTCAAATTGCAATTTAGTTTATAATCTTAAAAGTATGTCATAAAACAAACACATCTATCTTCATGGAAAATGTTCCCAAATATGGTTTTAACTTACTAACTCATTTTTTTTACATTTCTCATTCATTCATTTATTACTCATTTTTGCATTTCATAATTTTTATTTACTGTATTTTTTAGATTATAAGGCACACTTAAAATCCTTAAATTTTCTCAAAAATTAACAATGCGCCTTATAATCCAGTGCGCCTTATGTATTAATTCTGGTTGTGTTTACTGACCTTGAACCGATTTTATGTGGTACACGGCGCTCAAAAATCTGTCCAAATGTTTTAGTACGACTTTGGTAAACTACGAAGCCGTACAGCTTGATGGATTGCCAGAGCATTACAGCTACTGTAATCAGGAGCCTCGTGGAATTTGACAGAAGCTGACCACACCAGCGCACAAGGAGCGAGATGTATTTTCAGCACTTAGTCTATGCAAATTAGCCGTGAGGTTTTAAGTTTCGTTTCTGTAAAATGTAAACAAATGTGCGCAAATCTGCATTAAACATATTATTACTCAATGTATATTTGAATCCTTCTCGCAGGAAATAAAAAACAAACTTAAATTATCCACCCACATTCACATTCATAATACACATTCACCAAGACAAGCGAATTACACCACGATCTGCAAATGAATCGTGGACGCCTGTGGTAGGGATCAGTCTCAAGTGTCGTCCATTTGTTTTGCTTAATGCACCTTATAATCCAGTGTGCCTTATAGCCCAAAAAATACGGTACAGGTTTCATAATTTCCTCAGAATCAGGCAGGTTACATGTCATCTGTTGCTTTAACTTTTAGTAGCTTAAAGGTCCTTTATTGCGCAAAATGGCCTCCTGTGAGCTTTAAGAAATGTTTTAATGTTGTTACCTCATCAAAAACATAACTGGAGTTGTGGTTTGTTTCATTCACACACTTCATGGAGTAATCTTTTATTATGAGTTTGTAACTTCCGCCTTGTGATGTCATGAAGTGGTAGTTTTCTAGTTTAAAGCTACCCTTTACTTTTTGTTCTGGCGAGATTGGATAATTTAAGACTTGGAATTGCCAAATAATTCTATTGAAGGTATATGGCATTTAAAAACACAATTTTCATTTTTGAAAGAAGAATTCAGGCTAAATATGCAGGGTTTGTGTGTTAAACATGTGTGAATGAAACAAAACACAATTCCAGGTATGTTTGTGATGAGGAAACATTATAACATAAATCAGAAAATAGCGTAATATGGGCTCTTTAAGTCAAAATAAAGACTACTTGCTCATCAGGTCTGTATGTTCAGAGACACAGGACATGCACTGTGCGATATTTACGATCGTTTCACTCAGCCCCAGCGGTTCAAATCACAGGGTTTCAAAGTTCACAGCTCACGATTCATGTTCTCAAACTATACGAACTACTTCAACAGTGCGAAACTCTGACGAGAGGCGATTGGATTTCAAATAGGTTTGATATTCTTGCGACCTACGATTTTCTCCGTGTTTACTACACGAAGCACGAAACACGATTAAGCCAAAAGTCGTCCAAAAATCGTCTCAAAAAGGGCCGAAAATCACAGCACAGTGTACGCCTGGCTTTACAACTTGTGCAACATCTGCCACGGGGTTTTTATAATGCTCTCTACTTGGACTAAATATAACTATTCTGTACATTACTAATACATTTTCAGAAATAAAAGCACAGAAATACTCCATCTCCAGTATAGCAGCTCTTGTACGAGACCACTGCCATCCTGCCATTATGTTGTTCTGGGCAGCTCCTCTCCATAATTATAGTGCTATGATTCAGTCTGACAGTACTACCGGCAGCCACTTCAGTCAAATTACCATAGTTCATGTTCTGTGTATCAGATCCAATTCTACTTTTCAACAAAACGCATTTATTCCATTTGAGGCGCATTTAAACACATTTAATTTTCAGTCGTGCGGATCATTTTTCAAGGAGGAAGTTCTGTCATCATAACACACTTACTCAAACTAGTCTTGTCACAGTAATAAAATATTCAACTCTGCTTTGACACTAAGGAAAAGCTTAATATACATGGCCATTTTTATTACACCCTTATAAATGAATATAAGCATTGATGTAATAGTGCTGGGGCTGGGGTTTATAACTGAGGTGGGTGGAGAGTCCCTGCCTCAAGTGGAAGAGTTCAAGTATCTCGGGGACTTGTTCACGAGTGAGGGGAGGATGGAGCGTGAGATCGACAGGTGGATTGCTGCAGTGATGCGGTCGCTGTATCGGACCGTTGTGGTGAAGAGGGAAATGAGTCGAAAGGTGAAGTTCTCGATTTACCGGTCAGTCTATGTTCCTCCCCTCACCGATGGTCATGAGCTCTGGGTAATGACCGAAAGGACGAGATCGCAGATACAAGCGATCGAAATGAGTTTCCTCCACAGGGAGACTGGGTGCTCCCTTAGAGATAGGGTGAGGAGCTTGGAGTAGAGCCGCTGCTCCTCCACGTCGAGAGGAGCCAGTTGAGGTGACTCGGGCATCTGTTCCGGATGCCTCCTGGACGTCTAGCTCAGGAAATGTTCTGGGCATGTCCCGCCGGAAGGAGGCCACGGGGAAAGACCCAGGAAATGCTGGAGGGACTATGTCTCTGGGCTGGCCTGGGAACACCTCAGGGTCCCCCCCAGAGGAGCTGGAGGACGTGTCTGGGGTGAAGGAAGTCTGGGAGTCCCTGCTTAGGCTACTGCCTCCACAACCCGGCCTCAGATAAGCAGAAGAAAATGGATGAATGGCTTTCTAATAAATAATAATACTGGACTGGATCAGAGTTCAAACTTTGGAGGAAAAAGCTTCATGTTACAGAATATCATGACATATTAAAGTTACCATATTATGCAAAATTGACTCTTATGAGCTTAAAGCCATGTTATAATGCTCCTCAAAAACCTACCTGGAGTTGTTTTGTTTCATTCACACGTGTTTGAGTAACTATTCATTATTAGTCTGTCTACATCTCCTAAACTTAAAATCCGATATCTGAATAATAGCGTAGTCTTGTTTAATTTCAACATGTAATCATTTGTGCTGGGTGTCATTAAGAAGTTGCCGATACGATACATACCTTAATACATAGGCCACAATATGATATGTTTTTCGATTCAGTATGATATATTTCAAATCAATTTCATTGGAAAAAACGGCTAAATTATGGCTGTGATGCTGAAAGTCTACTAAGTTTGTGCAAAGTTAATATGAAAAAGACCCATTTTATCATCAAAAAAGTGAAAATGTCAACACAATTGTACCTCTTACACAAAATCATTTAGTAAAATATACCAAAAATTACTCTTGGCAAAATATCGATACTGTATCATCAAATTAAACAGTACGATATATCGATATTTCAATATTTTTGCACAGCCCTAGTCCTCATACAACTTCTGACACTACTTTCTAGGCTCATATTTTTGACAACTTTAATAAAACACACCCATTTATAGTGAATTTTATATCCTCTAAACCTCCTTGTGCTGTATACAGTTGCACACAGAGCCAGGATCCTCGGTACATTCTCGGTGGAGTGGTCTTGAACACTTGGGCTGTTGAATTAATCAGCGCTGATGCACATTCTCCTCCCTGCTAATGGAGAGGGCCACCTGGGTCTGTCCACGTGCGCGCTCACATGCATGCACAGACACACACACACATGCACACACACACACCTGTTTGTGCTAGGCTAGTGTGTGTGAGCCTGGGTACACAGAGGATGCCAGCTCGTGTGTGTGTGTGTGTGTGTGTGCGTGTGTGTGCCATCTTTCATCTTTGCCAGACAGCTGATCAAACGCAGCAATCAGGACACAGCGTATCTCCACTGTCATGCACGGGTTTGTTCAGTTTGGACAATGTTTCCCTCTCTATATATATAATCCAAAAAATTAGGAATATAAAAATGTCATCCAAGCATGTTTGAGTAATCTAGCAATCTGTCCCGGGTCCTGTTTGAGTCATCCTTACGGTCACTAGGGGTGTGCAAAAATGGTTTAATCGTTTAATGTATCGATATTGTGGGTTGCTGTATTTTTTTGGTGTATTTTACTAAATTACTTTGTCACAGCACTACAGTTTTGTTGCTTGTTCAGAGGAAGGAAACTTGTTTATGCGACACTTTTAACATTTTCACTTTTTTGATGATTAAAATGTTTGTGTTTCATATGAACTTTGCATAAGAAGTGGTTTGACAAAGACTTTTAGTATCACAGACATGATTTAGCCTTTATTTATTATTGAACCATATCGAACTGAATTGAAATATATTGTATTGAATTGTAAGCTTACTATATTGAGATATGTATCGTATTGTGGCCATGTATCGAGATATGGATCGTATCGTGGCCTATGTATCATATCGTGGCCATGTATCGAGATATGTATTGTATCGTGGCCTATGTATCGAGATATGAATCGTATCGTGGCCATGTATCGAGATATGTATCGTATCGTGGCCCATGTATCGAGATATGAATCGTATCGTGGCCATGTATCGAGATATGTATCGTATCGTGGCCTATGTATAGAGATATGGATTGTATCGTGGCGTATGTATCATATCGTGGCCATGTATCAAGATATGTATCATATCGTGGCCATGTATCGAGATATATGAATTGTATCATGGCCTATGTATCAAGATATGTATCGTATCGTGGCCTATGTATCGAGATATGGATCGTATCGTGGCCTATCTATCGAGATATGTATTGAATTGGTAACTTCTGAATGATACCCAGCCCTAACAGTTCGCAGTATGATTCTGTCCACTGCTCAGCCACAGGCCCAAGCTTCAGACAGAGCAGTGCCCGCAGTTAGCTTCACACCTCCAGGAAATGTTGACGACATGAGCTGAAAAGTATTGATTGTTGAATACAGACATTAGGGCAGATGTGCCTATTATTGTGTCCAATGACTGTCCTGATGTGAGTCCATTCCTGTTTGTCTGTGTTTGTAGGTGTGATCCTGTACATCCTCTTAGTGGGGTACCCTCCTTTCTGGGACGAGGACCAGCACAAGCTCTACCAGCAGATCAAAGCAGGAGCCTATGACGTGAGTGTATAATGTTATATCTTATCAACTGTCTAGTCAGAATAATATTATTATGACAACCAGATTTTGTTCTTTATTCGACCCAAAACATGTCAGTGGTCATCTTGGCTTAACATAAAGATCTGTTCAGTTACTTACAATAAACTTTTTAAATGGATCAATTATGGACTGGACAAAAGTTTATTTGGTCACAGCTCATCCAAGACTATTGAACTTGCACTGAGTGTGGGGTCATATTAGGTCTGAATGATTCTGCTAATAAGACCCCACACTCAGTACAGTTGAATAGGCCTAGCTAAGAAACAGAAACTGTAAACAAGTACCTTAGTTCCAGAGTAGTTTCATTGTAGTTAGCTCCTCCCTTTAGACAGATATAAGGAAGTATTCACCAGCGTCTGACTAGAACTGAAGAAGCAGCTTGGATGAGCTACGAAATGTATTTGACCAAATAAACTTTTGTCCAGTTGACAGATTGAATTTCTCCTTTTGCCAAGGATTGTACCTGGACGACTGAGGGATTTTACACACAGTGGATCAATTAATTAATCACTGAATTTTTATAACACCTTTCACAGCACCCAGAGCACTTTACAGAGCATTATTCATTCAGTTTATACTCGGTGGTAGTGAGCTACTATTCTGTACCATCGGCCCCTCTGATCACCACCAACACTCACACACAGACAGTTTTCAAGGACACGACAACTGCTGCCCCACTGTGGCACCTGGAATTCCCAGCGGTCTCCCATCCAAATACTAACCAGACCTGGCCCTGCTCAGCTTCTGAGGTCTGACAAGATCATAATTTGACAAGCCGGTATGACCACTTGTATGTCTGGGAAGTCAGTTCATGTGTCTGGGGCTTTAAATATTTTATACTACACAAAACTGACTCTTGTGAGCTTTAAGCCAGGTTAGAATTAGAAGCCGTGTTGTTACCTCATCAAAAACGCTCTTGGAGTTGTTTTGTTTCATTCACATATGCTAGAGTAAGTACTGGTAGTTTTAAAGTTAACAGCTACTTTTTACTTTCTGTTTAGTAGAGTTTGGAAATTCCAGGTTCTAAAACTATGAAAATGATTCTAGTGAAGGTGTGTGGAGTTTAAAAACACAAGTTCCACATGAGATCACAGGGTGTTTAGTGTTTGAGAGAAGAGCTCTGGCTAAATATTCATGATTTGTGAATTAAGCATGCGTGAATGAAACAAAACACAACACTAGGTCTGTTTATGATGAGGAAACAACAATACGACATAGATTAGAAAATTAGAGCAAGAATGATATGGACCCTTGGAAATGAATGTTGGTTAGCTGTGTGGGAGGGTTAAGAAACAAACACCAGTGAAATAAAACTCCTTCAGCCATGTTTATGCAGTGTACAGCTCAGAATATTTTGCATTATGTGTGTATGAGTATGTATGACTATAAAATCTAGTGACTGGAGGCTTTTAAACAGAATATTTATAACTAAAATGCATTATTGATCATGTTTAATCATTTTGGAATGTTGCTGTCTTTGTTATAAGAGTGTTTTAGAGCCTATATAGTCCATACATATATATTATATATATATATATATATATATATATATATATATATATATATATATATATATATGTATAATGATTATGATGATCAAAATACGATTATATACAAAATATTTTTATAGTCTACTAGTCCTGATTAGACTCTTAATTGTTGCAGCCCTGGTTAGAATATCTGCCAAATCTGTCAAAAATACACGTATGTCTCTTAACTTAACTAATTACATTTTTTTTCCAAATATTTGTATTAATTTTCAGATAAAAATGACCAATTGACCACATTAACATAGGTCAACATATAAACAAAAAAAAGAAAAACAGTCCAAGTCACACACACACACACACGCACATTCACATATTTCCGAACAATGCAACAAGTCAAAGATCCATATTCAGTGAAGATGGGGAAATGGGTAGAAGAGAGAAGAGAAAAATAAATAAAAAATATATATATATTGTTATTATCATCATCACTAATAACAACAATAACAATATACATACACTTGATTCCTATTTTTTTAGATATGATATTAACTAATTACATTTTTTTGTCCCAGTTTCCTTCTCCGGAGTGGGACACAGTAACATCCGAGGCAAAAGATCTGATCAACAAGATGCTCACCATTCACCCAGCCAAGAGAGTGACTGCCACGGACGCGCTCAAGCACCCCTGGATCTGCGTACGCTTCCCCGTTTTATGAGACAACGTACGCGTTTTATCTACCAACGGCACAATCTCATATATTCTGTTAAATATGTCCACAGCAACGCTCCACTGTGGCCTCCAGTATGCACAGACAGGAGACCGTGGACTGCCTCAAGAGGTTCAACGCCAGGAGGAAACTAAAGGTAACTATATGTAGTACCTGTTATTAGGTTATTAGGTACGAAAAGGTGTGTACCACTGGGAAAGTCGGGCTGTAGAATGAGGCAAAAGCTCAAAACTGCCATTGTGGGTGTTATGGTGTTATAAATTTAACTGCAGAACATGTAATCCGTAACTATACTTTAGCCTTATGAATACAGTTACTTCGAAATATCAATGCACAAATCGCAGTTGAAGTGTTTGACAAAATTACAACTTGAGTAAAAGTTTAGTGTGTGTATATTTTTTTTTAAAATCAACAAGCAACCTCGCCTCGGTGACTCCATGGGTCTGGGATTGAAGTGCACGTCTCCACAAAGCAGTAGAAAAGCACACAAAAATATTCCACTGCTCCGTTTTCAGTGACCTTACCCGAAGCGAAGTCGTCCTCGATCGTCGGTAAATGCATGATTCAAAAGCTTTCCCTTCATCCAGCACGTGATTGTAGACAACATACTAGTTCCTCTAATCCAGGGGCATCCAGTTTCTAAACATTTGGGTAACAATCAGCGCAAACATGTACATTGCCACGTTTAATGAATATAGAAATTCCTGAGTTTTTGTGGGGGGTTTTTTGTAGAGGAGGCAATGATGCTCTATAACCAGGGTTCCCATGATCATGGAAATCCTGGAAAAGTCATGGAATTTTAGTATCTCTTTCACCCAACTCCAGCATTCTGTTAAGTTCTCATTAGACTATTATGATTATTTCCGAATGTATGCGCCTTTTGTTTAAAAGAGACGACAATAAATACACTGACAGTATTTTGAATGTTAAAAAACTATAACACCAAACCATAAGGTGAATGGAAAGAGTTAACATTTCATATTTAGCCGTAAAAGTCTGATCAATTCTACACATGTAGAGTGGTGTAGAGTCATGGAAAATTCACATGAAAAAATAAAGCAATTCTGAAAACTTGTCAGTGAAAAAGAGTGGGATATCCAAATTTAATGAAATCAAACGGATTCCTAGGTGGATTTAGGTCAGGAGCAGCAGCACCTGTCGAGCCGCCACATCTTGCAGCCGCCATCTTTGGAAAACGTCAACTTTTTTCTCTGATTTTACCTATTGCTACTGCTATTACCGCACTATGAATACTACAACTCAAGGCACCATTTCAGATTTTTACAGTCTTAAAAATGTGAAAAACAGAAGTAGCTTAAGTGGTTTACAGTGGTTTACAAATTATTCCTCATATACTCTACGCATTCAGGGCATTGTAATTATTCACCGCGATGAGTTTATGAGCACATTTCACAACTTTCAGAGACCAGAGCAACTAGCATGCTAACACACACTTCCTGAAATGCTTTATAATCCGTTGCAGACGGCGCACAGCAGGCTTATTGTAAAATCAAGAGCTGCTGATACAATAGAGTCAGAACTGGGGCAAGACGTGGGAACAAAATCGAGTACAGGGCCTTGAGAAAAATCCGTAAATACTGACTAAAGTTACACTTTACTTTTTATTATGTGCATTAGACGTGTCATTTTTTTTGTTAAAATCCACAAGGGGACCAAGCAGACAACTTTTTAATTCCCTTCTTTCAAAACATTGCATCTTGAGATTGAGATTTATGTATTTATTTTAGTCAAGTAAGAAATGGAACACATAACATTAATGAAATCATAGCAGAAATAACAACAGCAAATTAATAAAAATGAAAAAATTTGGCCCAAAAAGGAGTGGGAAGAAGAAAACTTATTTAATCCCACCTCAGTTTTTCTCAGTACTTAGAAAACAATGGTAAAACGTGAAATTACGAACCATTTATAACGACAAGCTCGGGTTCATTATATTCTCATTACATTAAAATAGCAATAATAACATTCACACAGCCTATATATAGCCTCCGATATCACGTTGCATTGTTCCGAATGATAAAGCAGCTTCATATTGTTTTGTTATTTACTAGAAAAAGTGTAATTTAACAGGAAAAAATATTCAAACGGCAGCAGTTTTAACCTAATCAGAGCAAGTAGCGTTAGTGTTGTGATTGCGTTGCCGTCTGCTGTGCACCGCGGGACCCCCCCCTTCCACTTCCCCTTCTTCTTCTTCTTCTTCTGTACTTATGAAATGTTAAGTGCGAGCCGTGAGCGATGACTTTACCGGAGCGGGCCTCATGCATTTTGGATGAGTTTAAAATAACGTTGGGTTGGAGGTCGGGTTGTGTTTTGGTTTTATAACTTCAGTTCGAAATAGCTTCCATTAGGAATCTGAAGGGAAAAGTCAACTGTTAGTTTTACGAGGGCGAATAGACGTTTCAGCGCCGTTTTTAGATTTCGTTCACTCCGATGTTTACCGTTTCTGTTCTATTTACAGTGGATAGTGTAACTTTTCTACTGCTCTGTTGAGTCTCTATTGTCCTGCCTGGAATGTTCCACAATACGGCATTTAAAGAGCCCACGTCACGCTATTTTCTGATCTGTTATAATGTTATTTCTTCATCACAAACAGACCTGGATTTGTGTTTTGTTTCATTCACACATGTTCAGCACAAAAATCCTGCATATTTAGTTCTTCTCTCGAACTGGAAACACTCTGTTCCACCTTGTGATGTCATGTGGTAATACAGGAAGTGCTCCACTGTGTTATTAAACTCCGTACACCTTCACTAGAACCATTTGGATGATTTCAAAGTTCAAAATGAGCTTTATTGTCAATTTCTTCACATGTACTAAACATACAAAGGAATTGAAATTAAGTTTTTCTTTATCCCATGCGTAGATAAGACAGGACAAACATTTACATGCACAGACACAAGAAATACATCATCATAAATATCATCTCTAACCACTACCGTAACCGTAGATAAATAAATTAAGCTAAAAACACTAGTGCCTGATGAGAAAAACATTCAGACAAACACATTTTTGACAAACAAAACACAAAAAGTGAGAGGTGGTTATGTCTGCACGCGCAGCCAGACAATAAAAATCATAACATTTCAGGTCTCAAATTGCCAATCTCCACTGAACTAAAGGTAAAAATTTAGCTGTTAATGTTAAAAATACACTTCAGGGCATAAGAAAGTGGAACAGAGCATTTGAGCTTTGGAGATGTTCACTAAGTAATAATGCAGGATGTGTGAATGAAACAAAACACAAATCCAGGTTTGTTTTTGATGAGGTAACATCATTATAACATGACTTATAACTCACAAAAGTCAATGTCACATAATGTAGAATCTATATAACATATCTCTGTCCAGAGGTGGGGACTTGCAAGTCGTGACTTGGACTCAAGTCAGACTTGAGTCATTATTTTTAGGACTTGAGACTTGACTTGATTAAAATGGACTAAGACTTGGGACTTGACTTGGACTTGAGCCCTGCAACTTGAAAAGACTTGATGCTTCTCCTAAAAAATATGTTTTTAGAAAATACTTTTCTCTTTACAGTTGATAAATGTGGTGATTAATTTGAACAAACTGGAACATGTCCCTCCCACTTCTGTTTGTTACTTTGGATGTAACTGAAGTACTGTGAGATGGTGTCATCAAATGTACTACAGTAATACACAGTACAATAAGTAATTATCCTTCATGACAATAAAGGATAAGTAAGTTATTAAGCACTTTTAAATCTGAATTCTTTCTCTTCTAGCTGTAATGATTCACACTAAGATCTTGTCAAGGCATTAAAAAAAATGCATTTCTACAACTCTAAATACTATATAAATAAATATATAATGACTTTTCAAGTTAAATTTAGTTTAAAATTCATATAAATTGCAAAAATCTAAGCTCTATTTGGAATTTTGGTTCAAAGACTTGAAATGACTTGAAGCTCAAAGCAGACGACTTGGACTTGACTTGGACTTATGGGCCAGTGACTCAAGACTCGACTTGGACTTGCCTGTATTTGACTTGGGACTTGACTCGGACTTGAGGTCAAAGACTTGAGACTTACTTGAGACTTGCAAAACGACGACTTGGTCCTACCTCTGTCTCTGTCCGTGGAGCTAAGCAGGTGACGCCACAAGACCAAGTTACAGGTCAGATCTGTGGATTGGCATCCCCACTCACTGTAAGAATTTTTAGGTGTGTTTGAGCAATAAACTCAGCTGTCATTAATTAAATGCACATGATATAATATTAATGCCATATTGTGTATAGGGTTGTGCAAAAATATTGAAATATTGTTATGTTAAATTGTATAATTTAATGTGATGACACAGCATCGATATCATGGGCTGCTGTATCGATATATCACTGAGAGTATTTTTTGGTTTATTTTACTAAATTATTTAGTTACAGAGCTACAGTTTTGTTGCTTGTTTAGAGGAAGAAAACTCATTTATGCGACAGATTTGACATTTTCACTGTTTTGAGGATTAAAATGTTTGTGTTTCATATGAACTTTGCACAAGAAGTCGTTTAGCAAAGACTTTTAGTATCACAGCCATGATTTAGCCTTTATTTTTATTGAACTGTATCAAATCGATTTGAAATATATCATATCAAATCGAAACTGCACTGTGTCGAGATATGTATCGTATCGGCATTGTGGAATATCCCAGGCTAAGCAATAACCTCTCCATGGAGACGGGAGAAGTTACATAGGGCACCTTTAACATCTTGCTTTTCCCGTTTTTGAAATACAAATCAGGCAAAATCCGACATAATAGCATTTCTTCTGCCATTACTGTCAATCAAAGTCAGAGTTTTGCAGCAGATTAAACTTTAAATTCAAAGTACACACATTTTTCTCATTTCTGGTCTTTCTAAAATTCACGGTAGCTGTTGCCTCGATGTTTATTGTGTATAAAATCTGACGTTCAACTCCCTCAACAGGTTCTAAAAACGTCATTCAGCCCCAAATCACTAAAATGGCTATAACCATTCGAGTCATATTGCCACACTGCGTTTACTACTTAGATTTCAAATTGCCAGACATTAGTCGTGAGTTCGCAATTTGTTTTTCTTTGAGCTTGGGAACTATTATGTACGCACTTTATATTACACTGGATGGTATTAAAAAGAGTTACGCAAGAGCTTAACTTAAAATCCTTATTACTAATGTACAGTCATGTCGTATTTTGTCGGGCTTAAGCTGCAAACATTGTACCATTGTCTCTCTCTAATGTACTCTGAGTCCATTAAACCATCATTTATTCTACATTAGCGTTTATGGACATTGTGCACTTTCCCGTATGCCGGAGACCGAATGCGTGGTTGCGGGATTGAAAACAGAAGCGTCGTTTTCTTGGCTGACCTTTAACTCTTTATCTCCCACGTCTCATTTGTGTCTCCCCAGGGTGCCATCCTGACCACCATGCTCGTCAATCGCAACTTCTCAGGTACGATCAGCGGACCTGTTGCTAGGCTCTGCTCCCCCACAACCACCGCTGCATGGGTATTGCTCTTTTGTGTACGGTGGCCTTTGGAGTCCAATATTCTGTGTCTGGGCTGCCATTTAACCTCTTATTGACCGCGCCGTGAATGACCGTCGCGCGCTAGCCTGGAAAGGGCAAGCCATTCAAATGCACTCCGCTAAAGCTAACCGCTATCGATTGTGTCTGCTAGTGATAAATGACAGCGGCTCATTCACAGTAATGTCGTTGTTTTTTTTTTAAACTACAGTACGTGTGTTTATGTGGTGTTGACGTTCTGTTTCTCTTCCTTTCCCGGTCTCGTGTGGTAACTGGTGTAAGGTAAGAGTTGTTGGCGAAAACATGCCGTCGCTAATAAATGATGAAGAAAATCTGTGGCGGCCATATTGGAACTGTACTAGGATAGTACAGTACATTATAAAATGCCAGCTTTTAGAGCGTACTTTCATTTGTAGTTCTTATAAAAATATCAGGAATCGTAATTATTGATGCTTTGCGGTGACATCATGCTGGGGGTGTTCTACGTGAATCTCTAATGGTGGAATGTTTAGCATTAGCAAGCTGTGAGAAAGTGTTTAGAAAGTTGTTTGAACTCGAGAAAAGGGAGTGTGCCTATGTTCCCTCATTTCTACGTTTTGTTTTGTTTTGGTTTTTTTCCCCAAAATTAGGCCCTATGTTCCCACATTTCCTTTATCATCAATTTGCTTTAGATTTCATTTCATTTTCTCCCAATTTGGTCGTCAATTACACCCAACCTATTATCCAGCAGTCGTAGTTTACAGATGTAATGTAGAGATTATGGTCCAAAGGGTCCTAGGTTTAAATGACTCTGAATCATCTCTTTAAATGCGGCATAAAAATAAAACTGACTTGAATTGGAGTTTCATTTTTAGAAAAATCTTAGAAATGAGGGGACACAGAGCTGTGGGAACATAGGGCTGACCCCAGGAAAAAATACAAAATGGATTTAAACTTCTCATTTTCAGGAGCCTGTGATCATCTCTCTATTCACGCTTATGTCACAAACCAACAAGATGTTTGGAAACATGTGATGGCAACTTCCGGCAAACTCTGTCTGACAAAATCTAGGAAAAATTTGAAAATGGCCCAGTTTTCTTCATCTCCATGTCATCGTAGTGTTCTGTTATGTTCGACTAATCTAGTTTTCATAATTTCCCCACTGACACAAAACTCTGAGTGCACTGGGTACATGCGATTAGAAAAGATGAGGCGCCAAATTCAAGATGATTCCAAACAGCACATACGTCTGCAGTCTTCATTTTACCGCTGATCACATTTACTTCAGTGGATTTGATCATAGGCAGTCGGCGAGTCCAGTGTCGGGAACTACACCGGAAATTGTCATCGCATGTTTCCAAACGTCTTCCTGGTTTGAAACGTAAGCGTGAATAAAGCCAATGTGAGCGTTCATGATCCTGTTTAAGTGTTTAATTTTCAACAAAATGAGTGAGAGGGACTAGTTCAGTTCTTCATGGTCAAATTGTGTTAAAATAAAACTCAGATTAAAGTTTAGTAAAGCCTCAGATAGAGCAGAGCGTAAAGTTAGCAGCTCACCCCCAGGGAATTTTGATGCCATCTGCAGCAAAGTATCCAACAAAAAAAAAATCAAGTATATAACAACAAGTATAACAAACTATATACAAATACTAATACTAGTACTAGTAATGTACTGGTACATAAATGTGTTGTTATGTTTTATTTATTCATAGATTTACATTTTAGAGTTCCAATATGGTACCAGCTCTTTGTGCCACTGCAAGTCTTCATCAGTTTACAAATTCTATACAAGATGCCTTAAAATTCTATACAAAATAATGCTTTAAAACTTCTTAATATCGTGCATGTCCAAGACCGGGATCAGATTCTGGACTCTGTTTGTATGAGCCTTTTGTCAGTAGTCCTATTTGTCAGTACAGAAGTCACATTTATTGAGAATTTATATTGGAAAGCTTAGTCTTAATTTTTAGTCCGAATGTTCATTTGTTGGTGCTACACTGACAATGGCTTCCTGCAAACAGAGAAATAATCTGAACTCATTTGGCAAAAGCGGTCATTATTGTTCCATTCAAAGTCATCAGCTCTCAAGGACCCTTCAGACTAATTGTTTTCCCACTTTAATTATTAATACTTGAGATGTTAATTGAAAAAATATTAACTCCGCAGCGCTGAAGTGTTTCTATGCAGCATCCAATCTGTTAAAAAACAAAAATTTACAATCTATTTCCTCTGAGAATTTTTCTATAAACAAACTGCACTGCAAAAAAGCGTATGGATAAGATGGTTAAATGACTTAAATTCAGAATATCAATCTGTATTTGAGTAGTTTTGTAGATAATTTTGTTACAGTAAGAAAATAAATCTGCCAAATAAGGTTAGTAAGAGCAAATTTCCTAACCTAGTAAAGGATAAATTAACTTGAAATATGAATCATTGCACAGATGATCAAATTATTCAGGTTTATTAAAGGAGCCTGGATAATTTGAAGAAAAAAAGAAATAAATAAAGGAGAGAAGGCCTCATAATGTTTAAACTTTTATTCATACAAAGTGTAGTTAAGTGAGAGACAAACAAAGCTACATAACACATTCGGATCAGTTCTGTTATTTTATTTCTCAGTCTCTTTAAAGCTTTAGTGTTGGAATCGGAACTGAGAAATATGGATCGGTTCATCCCGAGAAAATGTTCCAACATGGTTTTAACTTTAACAGGTGAGGTGCAATCCGTGTATCATTTGTTCATTAGTTTTTCAAAATAAAACCAAAATTAAGAAAATGAAAAAAAGAACTATTTTCTTCATTATTTGTCTCCAAAACCAAAATGAAAAAACAGATAACGATTCGTTTTTTCAGTTTTCGATTTTGTGTTTAAATGAATAATGGAAAAAACGGATCCTTTCCCCGTTTACATGACTTCCCTGACTGCGATGTCGGATTTTGCACCGCATACGGGCAGAGCCAGGACTAAAACAGGACTGAACCAGGTCCAGGACCAGACCGGGACTGAGACCGGGAACAGGACCAGGACCAGAACGTGACTGAGACCAGGACTGAGGCCGGGACTGAAACCGGGACTGAGACCAGGACCAAACCAGGACTAGAACGTGACTGAGACTGAGACTGAGACTGGGACTGGGACTGGGAAAACAGGACCAGGACTGAAGACCAGGCACCAGAACTGGGACTGAGATCGGGACTTGAGATCGGGACTTGAGATCGGGACTTGAGATCGGGACTTGAGATCGGGACTTGAGATCGGGACTTGAGACCGGGACTTGAGACCGGGACTTGAGACCGGGACTTGAGACCGGGACTTGAGACCGGACTTGAGACCAGGACTTGAGGACCGGGACCAGACAAGGCCGGGACCAGACCAGGACCAGAACTGACCGGGACAGAGAGGACCGAGGCCGGGACGAGGGGACGAGGCCGGGACCGAGGCCGGGACCAGAACGTGATTGAAACCGGGACCGAGACCAGGACCGAGACCAGGACTGAGGCTGGGACAGGCGAGGACCAGAATGTGATTGAGACTGGGATTGAGACCGGGACTGAGACCGGGATTGAGACCGGGACTGAGACCAGGACTGAAAATAGTTTAATCCTGTTTTAGTCCTGATTCAGTCCTGGTTCTGTCCGTATGCGGTGCAAAAGTCCAGCATTGCAGTCACGGAAGTCACATAAACGCGAAACAACCGTTATCCGTTTTTTCCATTATTCATTTAAACAAAATCGAAAACTGAAAAAACAAATCATTTTGGTTTTGGAAACAAATAATGAAGAAAACAGTTGGTTTTTCGTTTTCTTCTTATTTTTGGTTTTATATTGAAAAACGAATGAACGAATGATACACGGATTAGGTGCCAACTCCAGAAAGTTCCCATACTGTACCTTTTACTAAATACATCTAGTCAAACTAATGAACCTAAAATCAAAATCCTGATTTCAAGTCATTTTAACCCAAACTAATTCCTTCATATTTTGCGGTGTAGTCGCTCTAATTGCATGTTCCAAACGACTGATTCACTAAGTTGAATTTCATCCTTGACTTGATTTGCATTTTTCCAATCGGAGCCGACTCAGCGAATCCGCAAGCGACCGTCTAGCCTTGAACACTCTTTGTAAATCCTCTGTTTTCACTCAAATATTTATTCCTCTTGTTTTGTCTCCTCTCTCCTTGCAGCAGCCAAGAGCCTCATCAACAAAAAGCCCGATAGTGTCAAAGTAAGTTCACACGCACACACACAGATATATATATACACACACGCACGAACAAACAGACGGGAAAAGTTGCTTGGATCCAGTTCTTTGTGAGATCTGCGGTCATAATTATGCATTGTCGCGCTGTGAAGGAGCTAATAAGTGCTGATTATGAGGTTTGATTGGCGGGTGGTTGATAGGCTTCATCAGTCAGGCTAAAATTAAAATCCCCTCTGTGAATAATATGTCGGTGAGCCTTCGTAAGATAAGATTTAATGGTAAAATATGTATTAAAAGTCTCATATTATGCAAAATTGACTCCTGTGAGCTTTTACGGTTCGTGTACCATTTGTTCTTTGGAATTTCAATTAAGATGAAACCATAATAAAATGGGAAAACAGTTTATTTCTTTGTTCCGTTCTAGTGTCAAACAAAAAAACAGACTCAACCTCTGTTTCCAATATTGAATTTAAAGTTTATTTCACATAACACCAATCAAAAAACAGTCTCCGTGCCTATTTTAATTTTGATATTTAATTCTCTTTGGTTTATATGCCCAGGGAAGTTCTGCTGCTCGAAGGACTTACCTGAAACATTTTGTAGACAAACACGTCCTCTTCTTTTATAACAAACGTGTTTTCTTTCGCGTCTTAGAAAGTCATTGTTGAACTCCATGACGAGAAACGGGAAGCAGCGATAAACTCTACTTTGTTCAGTTGACAGTGACTTCACACATGACCAGAGAGAAATCAAAATTAAATTAAAATACCGTATTTTTTGGACTACAAGTCACTCCGGAGTATAAGTCGCACCAGCCAAAAAAAGTGTAATGAAGAAGAAAAAAACATATATTTTTGGAGAAATGTATTTTATAAAATCAGAGACCAGGAACCGACATTTCATCTTGAAAGTCAAGTTCTTGTAATAACAATAGAACAGAGAACAACAGACTTTCTCGCTCACTCCAAACTTTCTTTCTGCTGCTCGATGACCGTTTTTGGCTGAATATTTCACTATTTGTAGCAAGACAGCAGCTTTTTCTGCAGAAGACATGCGCAGTAGAGCCAAGTGCCAGTGGTACAGGAGTAACAGGAGCAGCAGATACTGACACACAAGACTAAAGCTTCTCGAGGCTGTCAGTGTGAAAATTTGAATATATAAGTCGCAGGAAACACCCAAACTATGAAAAAAAGTGCGACTTATAGTCCGAAAAATGCACCAAGACTGTTTTTTGATAGATGATACTTGAAATAAACTTTAAATATTGGAAATAGAAGTTGAAATTTTTGGTTTGACACTCAGGCTACATTTATATGATGGCGGTCTAAAGAGAAGACGCAAAAGTGACGCTGCGTCTTCACTTTTTATTCTGCATTTAGACGAGCATTCTCGGGAGGAAATCTGTGTGCATACGGTGACGCAAAAGTGTGTGGAATTCAATTGTGTATGCATGCCAGGCGGCTCTGTGGTGACGCTAGCACCAGAGTTTTGCATCTTGGGTAGTGTAGATGCAAACGTTACGACGGAGCGTATTCAACTTTCAGATTTCTGCATTTTTAAGCCCCAAAAACGCCATCACCGTCTAAACGAAAGGCATTTCCGATAAAATATTTTGTCGTTTTCAAGTAAACAGGCCCTAAAACGGAATAATGAAATAGCAATCTGTTTTCTCATTTTACTGTTTTTCGTTCTTAAGTGAAATTCAAAAGGACAAATGGTGCACTGATCTTTTAGTCAAGTTATAAAGCTGTTTCCTCCTCAAAAACAAACCTGGAGTTGTTTTGTTTCAGGCACACATTTTTGAGTAACTCTGCATTATTAATCTGTCTACAGCGCCAAAGATCCAAATGCTCTGACCCTTGTGATGTCATGAAGCGGCAGTTTTCCTTTCACATTTCATTTAGTTGCGATTTCTCATTCCTGGTCTGAAATGATCCAAATCATTCTAGTGCAGTACTTTCTCTCTTACCACATGAGGAAACAGCATTATAACATGTATCAGAAATAGCGTAACCTGGGCTCTTTAAGTGTTCTATTTTGAACTCAGGTGTTTTGTACAATTCCATAGTTGTTGTTGTTGAGAGAACAGAAGATGAAGATGGAAGGTAGATCTAAAATTATGAAGGTCAGAGAAGCAATATGAAGCTGGAAAAATGGGTTTTTATGCGTTGCTATGGACAACCAGAGGTAAAGTGTCAAATGCACGTTGTTCAATTTGAAGTGCAACTCATGGGCTTTAGCTTTTTGTTTATAGCTGACATTTTCAGGACTCGAAAGATGTAATTATTTTGTTTATGTTTATGGGAACAGTCCTAATTTTTCATCACATTTTGCCGTATTTGATCTCTTCCTCACCGTCTCTCATTACGTGTATCATTCGTTCATTAGTTTTTCAAAATAAAACCAAAAATAAGAAAACGATAAAACAACTATTTTCTTCATTATTTGTCTCCAAAACCAAAATGAAAAAACAGATAACAATTAGTTTTTTCAGTTTTTGATTTTATGTTTAAATGAATAATGGAAAAAACAGATAACAGCCGTTTCTCGTTTTTGTGACTTAAACTGCAAACCAGGACTGAACCAGGACTAAAACAGGACTGAACAGGTCTAAACCAGCTCTAAACCAAAATTGAACCAGGACTAAACCCGGTCTGAGTCCCGGTCTGAGTCCCGGTCTGAGTCCCGGTCTGAGTCCCGGTCTGAGTCCCGGTCTGAGTCCCGGTCTGAGTCCCGGTCTGAGTCCCGGTCTGAGTCCCGGTCTGAGTCCCGGTCTGAGTCCCGGTCTGGTCCCAGTTTCCTAATCACCCGACAGTGTACGCGGGCGCATCTCTGAGCCAGTCCCGACACTCCTGGTTCAGTCCTGGTTCAGTCCTGGTTTAGGCCTGGTTTAGTCCTGGTTCAGTTCTGGTTTAGTCCTGGTTTAGGACTGAAATTGGGACCGGGACTGAGATGGGGACTGAGACTAGGACTGAGACTGGTTTAGACCTAGTTTAGAGCTGGTTTAGTCCTGGTTTAGTTCTGGTTCAGTTCTGGTTCAGTTCTGGTTCAGTTCTGGTTCAGTTCTGGTTCAGTCCTGGTTCAGTCCTGGTTCAGTTCTGGTTCAATTCTGGTTCAGTCCTGGTTCAGTCCTGGTTTAGGACTGAAACTGGGACCAGGACCGACACTGGTTCAGTCCTGGTTCAGTTCTGGTTCAGTTCTGGTTCAGTTCTGGTTCAGTTCTGGTTCAGTCCTGGTTCAGTCCTGGTTTAGGACTGAAACTGGGACCAGGACCGACACTGGTTTAGTCCTGGTTCAGTCCGGCATTGCAGTTTAAGTCACATAAACAGGCCGTTACTCGTTTTTTCCACTTTTCATTTAAACACAAAATCGAAAACTGAAAAAACAAATCATTATCTGTTTTTTCCATTTCGGAGCCAAATAATGAAGAAAATAGTTGTTTTTTACTTTTCTTATTTTTGGTTTTATTTTGAAAAACAAACGAACGAATGACACACGGATTTCTGTCCTATATGTTTTTCTGTCACATTTGTTTTTGTTCTGAAGTGGAGCATGAGGCCAGCCCAGGTCGATGTTTCCTCCTGGCTGCTCGCACACACATGTACGGGCTCTGAATGAGGAGAGGTGCATTGTGGGAAACAGCTTTGGGTCATGCAGAGCTCCACAGGCCTACAGTCGTACAAACATGAGAAGAGAGGAGAGAGTGTAGGACCATGTGTTAGAGCAAAAGAAACTATTGGTATCCACTCTGACTGAACTCAAGTGTAGTTACAGAACATATTGATCCAGGGAGTAATTTTTGGTGTCTATTTTTACTTATTTTGTTCCATCTGAAGGTTAAACTTTTAAACTTTGTGCTTTATTAACCTCACAAGAGTTTTAGCCATGTTAAATTGTTACTTTATTGAAAACAGACCTGGAGTTATGTTTTGTTTCTTTCACATTTTCAAGTTTTGTGAAGTAAAAAACAAACAAATACAACCATTTCAAAACCTGGGGCACTGTTCTACTGCAATAAGGATGTGGAACGGTGGATCATGTCTCTTTTTGTTTATAATCCAGCCATTTTGTCCAGCGTTTAAAGAAGAAATGTCCTTTGAGTCGTAGAAAAAAAAGTTAGTTGTTTCATTCACACATGTTTGAGTAATCCTGCGTTATTAGTCTGTCTACATCTCCAAAGCTCAAAATGTTCTGTTCCACCTTCTGATCTCATGAAGCGTTAGTTTTCAAGTTAAAAGCTTTTTTTTTTTTAACCTTTAGTTCAATAGAGATTGGCAATTCTGGGGCTGAAATTGTCCAAATGATTCTAGTAAAGGTGTAGGGAGTTTAAAGAACCATTAAACACCCTCCTGAAGTTTTACTCTGCCCAAGCAAATCTGAATAATCCTCCAAAGTGGGCGGTGTCTGGCAGGTTTAGTGGAGCAGGTGTGGGGCGGTGCCTGGCCGGTTTGGGGGAGCAGGTGTGGGGCGGGGTCTGGAGAGATGATTGACAGCCCTGACGACCACAGCAATCCAACACGGCGCGGACCGGTGCGCTCCGGACTTTGAAACAAAACGGACATTTGTGCACGTATCATGCAGTTTTCTCCAGACACGGTGGGAGATTGCGCTGACGGGTGGTGCCGGGTGGGGGCGGGGCTGAGAGGGGCTCCTCACGTATCGCCCGTAGACGCCAGTGGCTGTGTTCATCATGTAATAGCGTGACTGATTGGCGGGTGTTACTCCAACCCGAAAATTCAAAAGTACTGGCCATAGTTGATCCTAAAGAGGCCGTTACAGGCTAGTCAGGCTGGTGCCACCTAGTGCCTCTGCTCAATTTCATTTCTCTCCAGCGACTAGGTCAGGAATCAAAATACGCTAGACAGTTTGCAAGAACCCCAGAAGTGCGAGTCCGGGCACCAGCCAATCAGAGAAGAGCCATATATTATGTGTTGGCAACGATTCCCAAGATTAGGGATTTAAAGCCGGAACAAAGAGAATGTTTGGTGAATTTTATCAAGGGGAAAGACGTTATTGCTCTTCTT